AAGTAGTAAAGGTGAGCAGTCCGGAGTGTGCGAACTTTTTATGACGATTAGATTAAGGTATCTGCATTCCTAAAATGCTATGGGGAAGGAGGGAAACAGGTCCGCGATGTAGGAAGTGGTGAAGGAAGTAGTAAAGGCGAGTTGTTCGGAGTTTGGGATCTGTTTATGACGATTAGATTTAGGTATCTACAATCTTAAAATGCTATGGGAAGAGAGGGAAACAGATCCGTGACGTAGGAAGTGGTGAAGGAAGTAGTAAAGGCGAGCAGTCCGGAGTGTGGGAACTTTTTATGATGATTAGATTATGGTATCTACAATCCTAAAATGCTATGGGAAGGGAGGAAAACAGGTCCGCGATGTAGGAAGTGGTGAAGGAAGTGGTCAAGGCGAGCTGTCTGGAGTGTGGGAACTGTTTATGACGATTAGATTAAGGTATCTGCAATCCTAAAATGCTATGGGAAAGGAGGGCAATAGGTCCGTGACGTTGGAAGTGGTGAAGGAAGTAGTAAAGGTGAGCAGTCTGGAGTGTGGGAACTTTTTATGACGATTAGATTAAGGTATCTGCATTCCTAAAATGCTATGGGGAAGGAGGGAAACAGGTCCGCGATGTAGGAAGTGGTGAAGGAAGTGGTCAAGGCGAGCTGTCTGGAGTGTGGGAACTGTTTATGACGATTAGATTAAGGTATCTGCAATCCTAAAATGCTATGGGAAAGGAGGGAAATAGGTCCGTGACGTTGGAAGTGGTGAAGGAAGTAGTAAAGGTGAGCAGTCCGGAGTGTGGGAACTTTTTATGACGATTAGATTAAGGTATCTGCAATCCTAAAATGCTATGGGGAAGGAGGGAAACAGGTCCGTGACGTAGTAAGTGGTGAAGGAAGTAAATGCGAGCAGTCCGGAGTGTGGAAACTGTTTATGACGATTAAATTAAGGGATCTGCAATCCGAAAATGCTATGGGAAAGGAGGGAAACAGGTATGAGACGTAGGACGTGGTGAAGGAAGTAGTCAAGGCGAGCTGTCCGGAGTGTGGGAACTGTTTATGGCTATTAGATTAAGGTATCTACAATCCTAAAATTATATGGGAAGAGAGGGAAACAGGTCTGCAACGTAAGAAGAGGTGAAGGAAGTAGTAAGGCGAGCAGTGTGGAGTGTGGGAACTGGAAACCGTTTGTAGCAGTTAGATTAATGTATCTGCAATGCTGAAATCCTATGAGAAGGGATGGAACCATGCCCACGTCATAGAAAATGGTGATAGAAGTAGTAAAGGCTAGCAGTGCGGAGTGTGGGGAATGTTTGTGGCAATTAGATTAACGTATCTAAAATACTAAAATGCTATGGAAAGTGATGAAAACAGGTCCACGATGTAGGAAGTGGCTTAGGAAGTAGTAAAGTATGAGCATAGTGTAAGATCCGTCTGTGGCCGTTAGATTAATGTATCTTCAATCCTTAAATGCTATGAGAAGGGAAGGGAAGGAAACAGGCCCCACGACGTACTTAGTAGGAAGTGGTGAAGGAAGTAGTAAAGGCTGGCAGTGCAGAGTGGGGGAACCGTTTAAGCAGTTAGATAAATGTATCTAATACTTAAATGCTATGAGAAGGGAAGGAAACAGTTCTATGAGGTAGGAAATGGTGAAGGAAGTAGTAAGGCTTGCAGTGCAGAGTGTGGGAACTGTCTTTGGCAATTACATTAATGTATCTGCAGTCCTAAAATGCTATGGAAAGAGATGGAAACAGGTCCACGAAGTAGGGGGTGGTGAAGGAAGTAGTAAAGGTGAGCAGTGTTGAGTTTGGGAATGGATTAATGTAACTGCAATGCTAAAATGCTATGGGAAGAGACTGTAGACTGTAGGTTAAAATTTTTACGAAGCACGAATCGATACATATTTTTGATACATGCAATCATTTACAATAGAAATTTACAACTGAGTTGACAACAGCTGATTTTTTACTCCATAGAGGGTAAAAATTATTTGTACTCCCCAAAGAGTAAAAATGCTACTATAGACCCGCAACGCATGCATTAAAAACTACTGTTTTTACTGCAGTATGACAAAAACAATATAATATGGACCGTTGATGACTCCGCTCAATTTTGTGGATGCCTCTGCGAACGCCACCTAGTATTGCTTACTAGTTTGATGATAAATCACGATCAGCTGTATTGATGTAAATAAAAATCAGCAGTAAATGGCTTCTTATGGAGAACATTTTACGTTATACCTCGTTTTCTGGTAACTTTATGGGAATTCTGCTATTTTTCCCGAGTCCCTGGGGGTCAAGACCATTAATTTAAAACCCCTCCCACTTTTCTGCGACTTACCAGACGTCCACAATTTTCTGGTAAATATTTTGTCTTACAAAATTATATATAAGGATTACAGTTATCATGTCAAATCGTAGCTTCTAGAATTTCTTGGCATAATCCTATTAGAAGTAAGATATTTTAATAATGTTAGGTTATTTTTATAAAACCCATGAATATTGTTTACTATACAATATACGTATATTCATACTGTAGATAATGTCAATGTATCAAAATTTAAAATAATGGTTGAAATACAATGCTCAGAAGAAAACTGCCGAAATATTGGTAACCGCGTACCTTACCGATTTTGTATCAATAACCAGGGGTGCCCATCCCCCTCTAGACCCATGACGCACCCCCCCCCCCCCAACAAATCAGAAACGTCATTCCCCCGCCCAGCATTATTTGTAAAACTTTTAACCTATATAAATAAAGTTATAGTATTGTCTGTACATTGATTAGAATTATACATATTTTGGGTTATTTTTACGTTTTATACATTGAAGAAGTTGAAACATGTCTTATTTCAATTTATGTCCGTCTGTCACGGCCCAGAAGGCATACAAAGAAAACGGCGCAGCCTACTCTAAAGAAAACTAGAGTACCGATTATGATTCTAATGGTTTAATTGTATTCACAGGATTGGCGAGAGTGTCCTTAGCCATTAAAATATGACCTCACTATTTTGGAAATAAAATACCAGACAACCAAAAACGCAATTTTGTGCGATTTTTCAATTTTTTTCTCCACGTTTACTACATACGTCATTTATGAAATACTAATAATCTGTTAAGAGAACACGTCATATATGAAATTACGAACAGCTGTTTTGATAAATATTCCTTTTTCTAGCTGTCACTGATATGTTTACATAAATGTTGTTTACGAATACTGTGTAGGCCCTAACCATTTCCGATCACGTTTGTAACCATTTCCGATCACTTTAGTAAGCAAATACAAAATCAAGTGAGATTAATAACCGTGTGGCTTTGGCTTACATAACGGGTTTGATTTATCACGTACTAATAAAATAAGTAACTGTAACTGTAAACTAAATAACTACCCATCATCCAGGTCGGGAACCGGAGATTCTGAGTGTATCAAGTTGTACTTGAATTTTGATTACCGGGAAAAGACCGTGAATCAGTGTTGTACAGCACTGGAAAACTTATCTTTCTATATAGGCCTAAATAAAATTAGAGTTTTATAAGTCACCTCAATTTAAGGATTTTTATTGCCAGAATGTCCACAATATCTATAGCACAATATATTTATAGCGTTCGTAAACTCTGCTTAACGAATTGTCAGCGTCTTTTTCTTGATATAACAACCCCCTCTCCCTCCCTTTGGAAACATCACAGCTCCTTCGATGAAAATGAAATGGAAACAACACTTGTGCCAACAATCGTCTGCTCCGTTTTACACTTCTGTCTGCTGTGTGGTATGTTACAACAGATTTCAGATAGGCCTACAACAGCTGGGGAATGATGACGTGACGATAATGCTTAGTAAACTGTGATTGAGTGATTAGTAACCATGGTAACTTTAGTAAGGCTGTGATTGGGCAATGAGTAGGCCTATGGCGACTTGTTGACTTTGTGTATGAATTGAAGAGAAACCTAATAAAGAACAGAAGATCAAAGAAAAAGAATAACAAGATTGTTCTCGTTACATTCTTTTATCAGAGTGTTTTTATTATCTCTAAATACAATTTTTCACTTTTTTATTACTTATCTATCAATTCCTATGCTATGATACAGCACCTATACCGGTAGCCTATCTGTATATCATGAGCAGTAGCTTATAACACTTCCTATGGTGTAATATTTACGTTGTTTATAGCAATGCAGTGTTTGGCTAGTTATTAGTTGAGTTTGACTTAGCTATAATTTTAAACATTGCCGTTTGTACAACTGAACAAGATAAATGATTTAAAATGTCATTATTGCACAATAATAATGATTGTGCAATATTGAATTTCGTTTATAAAAATGCAAATCATGACGTTAATGGTTGTTTACAGCGTTTTAATGGGTTTGTCATCTGTTTTTATACTATATTGGATTAACCATATTTTTAATTACCCCCCTCCCTATAAGTCCTTTGTAAGTATTGTAGCCTATGCTACTCGATTGTATTTTAACGAGCTTTATGTCAACAAATCGTTCTATGCTGAGTCGCGGTGTAGCTGTGTCTGTACCACGCGTTATCTTTATCTATCACAGCAGTTGAGCCATTTCGTGCCCTCCCTCTTAGATCTCACGTCTTGCTAATCTTGAATAATAACTTCCTACAATAACTTCCTAAAATACTATTTTAACTAATTGAATTCAATAATATAAGTACAGTATTGTCAATATTAATCAATTACAATATTAATCTGCTTTCTATCTGGTGATTTCATAATATATCTTTGATTGTTGTCACGTTGAACACTGTTGCAATTAACTTTAGCCACCCCCCCCCCATTTGATTTTTTTGCAACCCCCCCCCCCAAGAATTTCAATGACATTCTGACAGTCTGCGTCACAGCCCCCCCCCCCCCCCTTGTGGGCACCCCTGCAATAACCGATACAAAACTATGGACCTTAAATTTTCTGAACCGCAGACCTCTAATTTTATTTTGAATGTATGTTAAATAATTAAAAAAACTAACAGCTTTATCAACTGATTTAGGTGTCTGTGTTGTGATTTTAGAATTACGAAGAGTATTTAGTCAGCACAAAATGCGCCAAATGACGGAAAAAAAGTACAGACAATTATCAGAAGTTCAAGAAAAACTACAGGATACTAAAAAGAAGGAGAATTACCGAACAAACAGACTTATGGCTGAAGTATTCAAGAAGGTATATTTCCATATTTAATTATATACATTTAATTTTGTAAAAGTGAAAAAAAAAACTGGCCACTTCAAAAAGAGATTGGTGCATAGTGAAACCTTGGAAAATTATATTTCAAAGGAAACATAGTAATTTTTAACTATTGAGTACCTACTAAATTTTGAACTGGTATCTTTGATCGGTTTTTTAAAATTTTTAAGAAATAAAAGATGCAGTTGCACGACATAGTGAAAGAGAAAGACTATGGTTAAATTTTTAAAATGTTGTGTACAGTCTTTTCTATTTAGAAAGTGTTAAAATTAAATTTGTACAGCCTAGCCTTTATTAATTAAATAAAAATAGTTAGTGTTGTGTTGTAGTACAAAAACTATTGTATAGAAATGTTTCTTTGAAACAATTTATATGAGTTAGCAGGGCCGGTGCAAGGTGTTTGTCCTGAACAAATTTTTGGAGCTCCACCAATATATAACCTACCTATCCATATGAAACTCCTTATTCAAAAATAGTTAATAACTCTCCAATGTATTATACTCAATAAATAAATTAATTAGATAAAAAAAATACAGGGTGATTGGTACCTACTCAGTGTGACAATTTTTTTATTGTGTAAGTACAAAGTAAATGCAGTGTGATGATGCGTATAAAAGGTTCCAAGTCTAAAAATTAGCTTTCCAAAGAATTATTTTTTTTTTTTCAAAAACAACTATGTTTTTAAACTTAATACAGCAATTTATCAATTACTTGTAAATGGATTTGAGTAGATAATGCCATTTTCGTGTCCTACATTAAATTTTGAATAAGAAAAATAGAAAATGACGGGGGATCAGTTATAAAAACTCCATTGTAAATGGATTCAAAGATAAAAATTAAGATGTTTTATAAAAATTTAAAAAACATTGGTCTATTGAATTTTTTCACACCCTGTATACAAGAAAGTGTCTGAATATGTTAAAACTGTGCCATTTTATAAGCTTTCCAAACATATGCTACACTAATTGAGGTTTAGATATTCTTTTGTTTGTTTTAGTGGTTTGAATACCAGATAACAGGGAACTTTTTTACTGTTTTTACTGTTCAAGCTGAAATAAAAATACAACTTTTGCTTAATACATGCCGACATTTTATGTTTTAAATGTTAAAGACATCATGTTTTGTAGTCTTCAAACCACTAAAACGTACATAAGCAGACGTAAAGCTCAATGGTGTAGTATATGGTTGGAAATCTCATAAAATGGCACAGTTTTTACCATATTCGGACACTTTTAGCGAATTTCCCATATAAGGAATAAGCTATTACCGTAGTACCCGATTTTGATGAAATTTGGTACAAACGTGTAAACCTACGTTTATTCGAACGAGTTCGCGATCCAGCATGATCGGATCATGGGAACGGGGGTTTACGGGGGGTTTTATGGGGTAAAAATAGGGTTTTCCCATTTTTGACTCAAAAAACATAAAATTTAGCAATTTCTTTCCAAACCATTTTGTAGAGCTTAAAAAAACAAATAATTTAGTATATTGAAGCGTTATTATGCGCCTAATGGCTACGGAGAAAATTCCAAAAAATTGTAAATTAAAAATTCCCATGTTATTCTTATGGAGAATAAGTAAACTGTTGTAGTTTTCTTGTTTATGAATATATTTTGATCAAATTTGGAAAATGTTTTTATTTCTTACTAATTATTAACATTTTACAAAAAAAAAAAACAGTTTTACCCTCCCTGATGCAGCAAACCTAAGTACTTGTTAAACTAATTCTATTTAAATCGGGAATATAAATGTTATATTTTTAAGTAGACATTTCAGTGTAAATCCAATCAGTCAAATGGAAATTCGCTTAGTCTGCAGGTTTGCTGCGGCGGGGGTATTTTGTATACAGGGTGTGAACAAATGCAATAGACCAATGTTTTTTTTAAATTTTTATTAATTTTTATCTTTGAATCTATGGACAATGGAGTTTTTACAACTGATCCCCCGTCATTTTCTATTTTTCTTATTCAAAATTTAATGTAGAACACGAAAATGACATTATCTACTCAAATCCATATACAGGTAATTGATAAATTGCTGTATTAAATTTAAAAACATAGTTATTTTTGAGAATCATAAAATGATTTTTTGAGAAGCTAATTTTTAGTCTTGGAACCTTTTATATGCATCATCACACTTAATTTACTTTGTACTTACACCAAAAAATTTTTGTCACACTGAGTACCAATCACCCTGTATATAACATTGAACAAAGATTTTACAATTAAAAGTAAACATAAGCATTTTGTATATATCTATTTAAATTGAATATGTTGCTTAACTTAATTCCCATAACTTAGTTCCCAATAAGGTTTCATATAGAACTCTATCTAGGTGTGCAGATATGCGAATTATTGGCTTTAGATTTAAGCCATAAAATTAAAAAAAATCACAAAAAAAATTGTAAATTAGTTTACAAACTTTTCAAAATTTTAAGTTCAGAATTCCCAGCTGATTCATTTGCTTATCCCCTGAAATCAAACCTAGCGGTTTTCCTTCATTACCTAGTACCAGGAGGATCGAAGTTTACTATTACACGCTAACTCCAGTGTAAGGATAGCATCTCACTGTCCTCCAGTCATAAATTTAAACCTCTTTTGTTTAAAACCTTCACTACTGATCATCATATTTTTGCGATGCTAAAGTCATTGCCTCGGCCCGAGGTATAAATTTTAATATCACACATAGACCGGGTGTCACTTGGTTTACAGTACACGCAGACCGCGGGCCAGTGATGTGGCAAAGTAAAAATCTGTTTTGCCAACTATCATATGACGTCACCAATCAACATATCCACAGACCAAGTGAAGCACATATGCGACAGACATCCCTGTAGACCGCTGCAGAGAATTCAGGGCCTTCAAACAGACCGTTAGAAAGCTTTAATAATAAGCTTAATTATTTAATGAATTAATTAAACTTAATTAATTAATTTATTATTATTTATAATTATTATAATTATTTAATTATAAGCTTTTTAATAACATTGGACACCGACACAAATTTGTGACAGTCTTTTTTAATGTGACCAGCTGCCGTATATATGCGACAGCAATTTTCTTTTGTAATTTTTGTAATTTTCTTTTGTTTACAATTTTTTAGTTGATGTCTATGATTTTTGTTGTTATTTCGTTGCCAAAGTAGTAACCCATAAACTTACTACTGTTAAGAATTTCAGACTTTAAATTGTTTACGTAATTAGCTTTTTCTTGGCCAGAGATAAATTATTTACAACATTTGAAGGATATCGTTGAAGCCGTTTTTGAGATCTAGTCACTAAGCCACTGAATTTTAAATAGATTTTGTCTCCGGAAAATTTTTAATTTTTAATGATGACTAATCAAATACATTACAAATTGCCGTTTGTCCCCTCTCTAGTAGTAGTCTCACACAAATTTGGTTCGCTTAAGATAACTACAATGATTTTTGTGATCAAGATAAACAATCCCATGTTTTGTTGTTTGAGGGAGATAACTACAACATTGCTGTGATTGGGGGAGATAACCACGATGATTCCAATGTTACCTTGAAGTCTGGGATTTTAAAGGTTGATCTAGGATGGAATCTAGATAATGTAAGTTTATGACGCATAGCGGCACGCTATGTTTCTTATAGTGTCAGCACTTCGCGTGGCAGGGCAGCATGGCGAGCTCGTCAGCCCACCGCGAGCAAGCGAACACCTTTCCCCCACCTAATTTTCCAATTCTCTTCCCACTTTGTCCCAGACCCTGTCTAGAACCTCACTCTGAAAATTGATCGTCTAGAAACCTACCTAAATTGCTAAGTCCCTAGAATAATTACATATACTAGATATTAGATTAGTATGTCAGGCTAGTTGGCAAACCAAGGGGGAGTCCTACAAGGGTCGCCCCGACATTGGAAACATAGGTATTAAACAGTTACGGTTCGAGGCCTTCAGCCTCGGACCATTTTCAACATGATTGGGGTAACACGTTTTCCCCAGAAGATTCCATAGTTCTTCTCAGTAAATTCATAGTTATTTCTGATTTAAGTAGTTCATTCACCAACCAATTATTTCATTAATAGTCATTTTCTAGGTCACAAGTTTTGGAAGGATAGTTTTAGTAAATTAGTTGTATTAGCATAAATCAAAGCTGGCTATGCAAGCTTCCGGCAGGGCCGGAACAAGGGGGGGGCAGAGGGGGCGGTTGCCCCGGGCGGCAGGGTTGAGGGGCGGCAAATTTCTGGTTGCAGAAAATTTGTTTAATACAGTTTGTAAAAGTTTTTAATGAGCCGAACGTCATAAGGAACGTCAATTAGGTAATTTCAAAACTGCATAACGTAATAAACAAACAATAATTTTGCAATAGAAATCAATATAAATTGCAACGGAGTAGAAAACACTGAGAGCCCTAATAGCATAGTTAGCAGCACAGCAAAGTTTGTTTATAATTTCAGCTGATCGCCATCCCTGTCAAGGCGCCATGCCGCCCTGCCTCACTGCCGTCATTCGTTATATAGAGGTTAGGTTTGCAGGAATTTCGCTAAGTCGAGGTTCAGAACCAGCGTCGATCAATATAGGTCGGGACTTGACCTCATTAAAATACAGTAAAATTAAAGTAGCATGGGCTACAATACTTTACAGTACAGTGTTTACATTGTACAGTAGAACCTAAATTATCCGGCATAATAAAGGGGAGGGATCTTGAATATTGCGCAATCATGACAATGGCATTGACCTTGTACAGGTTAAAAACTCACAGTTTAAAATCACAGCTTGTTCTAACCCTCCTAAAACCTAGCCAAACACTGTATTGCGTAGTCATAAGAACAAAACAAAACAGTAGAAAGTTTTGTAAGCTACTGCTCGCGATAGGCCGGTAGGCTACTTACAGTACAGTACTGATTTATCACAACAGAGGAATGTCAAGTAGAGTCCCACAAACTCGGCACTCGATAACCCGGCAGTCTGGATAACTCGGCCATCACCTGGCTCAGAAATTTAGTAATATTTTGAGTCCGAGTTAAACATGGACTCAAGCCAGCTCAAGTAAAATCATTCACAACTCGTACCAAGGATATTTTGTACTATATCTGATGACTAAATACTGACTTGTAATATAAAAAAAGGAGGTTAAAGAGCTTAAAAATTATATTGTCCTTATTTTTAAGCCTAGTTCCTGATAACCTGGCATTTCACAAACTCGGCATCCTTCCAGTCCACATTACGCCGAGTTTGCGGGATTCTACTGTAATATACATTAACTATAGCATTGGTGTTGCTAATGCTAGTTGAAACAAATCGTATTGAAAACAATAAATTATTAGATAAGTCATAATAAAAGTGTATAATCATAGCCAACTTAAGGATAGTAAAAATACTCGTAAAAGGAATGTTAAAATAGCGATGTTGTTATTCTTTCTCTTTGGTTTTGTTTTTATATTCTTTCTTAGGGTTTTCTTTATCAAAAAAATTGTACAATTCACCATAGTTATCCCATATCGCCCAATCACAGCTTACTAAACATTACGTCGTCATCAGTCCTCAGTGAATAAAATCAGTTCTCAGTTGCAACATAGCGCGAGCAGAGACAGCAGACAAAGATGTAAAACGGAGCTGACGAATGTTAGCGCAAGCGATGACGTGACCTTTCCATTTCATTTGATAAAGAAACAGATTTTCCCAAAACAATAATTGGGTGGGGGATTTGTTATATCGAGGGAAAGACGTAGACAATTCGTTATGCAGAGGTTAAATTCGCAATGTAGAGGTTCTGACAATGATAAATTTGTTATATTGAGGTGTCTTATTTTAGCCGAAATCACGAAAAATTCGTTAAAATCAAGGTCGTTGTTATAGTTTGTTCGTTATGTAGAGGTAAAATATACATTGTGTCTTATGGAGAGTTCTAGGGGATTAAAAAAAATTCGTTATATCAAGGAATTCGTTATATCTACCTATTCCACTTTACCTATTCCATTTTTGTTTAATTTGTGAGGGATTTGTTGCTGTGGGTGAAGGGGGGGGGAGGGGCGGCAAATTTTAGTTTGCCCCCACTCAAAAATTGTCTAGATCCGGCCCTGGTAAAAGATCCTGGTAAGATCTGGGTAAAAGATCTCCGTCCTCTGGTCCGCAACACGTCTTTCATATAAATAATTTGGTAGCAGAATCGGCACGCTTAAATTAGTCTCACAGTACCATATCACATCATCAACCACCGTCATTACATAACGTTCATCTCCAACATTACACCACCGTCAGTTAACAAACGCTACAAGTTTGCTACTTTACCGTTGAACTTGGGCAATGACACACTGCCATCCTGTAGCTACAAAACAACCTCCATCTGTAACATTTTTGTGATTGCTTAGGCCTACCGCACACGAGAGACTTTTTGTCGGCCGACTGTCTGCCGACTGTCTGGCTGGAGTTGGGTGCACAACTGAAAAGTCGTCAAGACTGTTTGGTCGTTGACTATGGGTGCGCACACGCCACGACTGTTTAGTCGTCTATCGAGAGTGTTAAAGGATGGATGTGACAGAAACCGCGGTCGTATGTGCGTTACTAATGAGATTCCGTGCTAGGAAACGTAAAAGAAAATATTGGGTCCATCCAATATACAGTCCGAGGATTTTGAAAGGCCAATTTTACCTATTATACACGGATTTAAGAAAATATCCAGAAAAATTTTTCATGTACTCACGAATGAGTGTTGATAGTTTTGACCAATTGTTACTACTAATGTGTCCAGTAATAACCCGCCAAAATACAAATATGAGGATGTCAGTACCAGCTGAAGAACGACTGTTGGTGACACTCAGGTAAGACTTATGTATTACAGTGTAATAATTTAATGAAACGATACATTTTTTGTCACTGCACAAAAACCCATTGTTTTAAGATCTGTAATAAACCCATAAACTTTTCCGCTACAAAAATCAGCTGTATTTTTGTCAGTGCGCTATAATCTTATTATTATATTTCACTACTAGTCACGAAAGTGACCCATTTAGGGGCTCAAACTTAAAACATTATCTGATATTTCGTAAACTTATCATTTTTCTAATTTAAACACAGTAAAATTAATGTAAATTTAATATTAATGCACGTTGTAAACTCTGTTAATAACAATCTATACTTATTTAATACGCAAGCAGGTTTTTTGTGACAATTACTCCTCCGAAACTACTGAACCGATTGACATGTTCTTGGTGTCATTGGAAAGAGCGTAACGTGAAGTTGTGCAGGAAACTTTCTTTTTAGGGAAATAATTAGAAAGTGAGGCCCTGGAGCCCTTTAAAGTTTTGTATTTCTCCATAAGATTAACATGGGAAACAAATATATTGTTATGAAACTCCAGCTGTTGTCAGAAATGCTGTTCTGCTATTTAATTTATTTTGTTTACAAGGAAAGTTGTTTCTTGGTGCCATGTGATCAATGAATTATAGTTTTGCATATATTATAAATTATATACACTATATAAAATGATAGTACTGTAATACAGTACATTAAGCTGCTTAAAATTGCTTAATTTAAATAATCACTAAGCAGGATTGAACCTTTGCCTATATGTTTCCTGGTAAGTGTGTTGTAACTGTTTCTCATAGTATATTATAGTATCTTAAAGTAAAACCGAATTATTCTTTTCTGCATTCTCACCCCGTAGCGAAGCACGGGCAGGGCAACTAGTTATATTTAATTTAATAATTTTTCTGATGTTTTTAAGGAGGATATAGCCCGTAGTCTACAGTGTGTTTTGAAATTCATTAATGAAATCGTCATAGTTAATTTTTTAAATATTTGCTCATGACAAACAACAGGTAAAATGGGAGTTTATGGACAATATTGGCCACGGTTTTAGGTTTTAAAAATGGTTTTAGAAAGTCACCAAACGGCTATAAAAATTATAAATTTTCCCGGGGGAGAGCCCCCGGATCCCCCTACCTTATTCGGGGGGTGCTCCAAAACCCTCCGGTAGCCCCCCCCCCCTGTACAAGGTCCGTCACTGTAAAACACGATTGCGCAAGAAACAACCACTTTTTTCCTTTTGATAAAAACTACTATTTGTAAGAGACGAATTAACTGCGTCGTCCTGTAATCCAGCTACTGTACTATGAGGTCACGAATTGTGGATATTTATTCCACTCTAAACTGTACGTAGCTACCTAAGCTCTAAGGAACATGTCGGCCGTAGTCACTAACAGGACTACAAGATCGCGCCACTTATCCTACACTCATCCTTCACTCATATTTCGGTTAAAATACACACATAGTGTCGTCCCCATCTTAAATAATTGATAATTGACTGTCAAACAATTCCACAATTCAAATTCAATCGTTTAATAAAAACAATAAAAATCAAAACGTTAATACAAACACAATGAGGCCTATCTTACTTAAAGGAAAACATATCGTATGGTTGGTACTGTAGTCTAATACTTATTTCTTTCAACCTCACAACAAATATCAAGGCTCCTTTAGTGTCGAACTATCCTAAACAATAGTTTTAAAACAAATAATAACAAACCAATTTAACAACAAACAACACAACAAATTTAACAAATAATAAATAAATTTTATTTTTTTAAATTTTAATTTTGAATTAATTTTTA